CACTCTGACACTTTAGAACCTCATGGAACCAAGGGTCCATTGTGACACTGAGAGGCCTCATGGAACCAAAGGAACCCTTAGAGTTTTTGGAACCTCATCGAATCAAGGGGCCATTTCTGGCAGGATGCTCTGCTCTGATAATATATAAAAAATGGTCAGAGAATGCAAACAGTGCAAGCTCTCTGTGGTGAGTTACTGCTGGTGTCAAGGTGCTGTTTTTAATGTTGAATTCTGCTAAACCCAAAATGCTTCTTGAAACTTCAAACACACATCCTGCTTTTTGAAGCAGGATTTGACAGAGAAGCTGCTCTCTGGCCTGCAAATAATTCTGGCACTCCAACTCTTTATAACTATAAAAGTCCAACTTTGATGTGGCAGATTCTTCCCCAGACTTCCTTGAAGTGTGTGGAGCTTCTGCCATGAAGCAGGGACAGCTCTTCATGGTCACTGCCCAGGGGTTAAGGGAAAGAGAGAGAACTACCCCCTATGGTTGTGGGGTGAGTTACCTCAATCTCTGCTTCAGGATTGTTTCTTTTTGCTGGCTTTGATCCAATTACTTTAATAGAATGACTTTGATAGACTGCACTGTCCTATCTTACACTATACTGTTAGGAGTTTTTTGGCTTTTATAATTTGAAGTAAATAACTCTCTTTAAGGTCTTTAATCTGTTTAATTGTGTGATAAATTTTCTGTTCATTTGTCATAATAATTCATTTTATAGAAATATTTCTGATTTGCCATCATTAAAACCTGCAGGACAAAGTGATTGAATCACACCTCTATAATTCCTTCAATCTAAACCAAACTCTGAGCCTGAGATTGGATCCAGCCACAGCCAGGCTCCTCTCTGAGAAGGACTTTGGAAAGCAAGGGGGTCCTTTCTGCCCCTCGTAGCTCAACGAGACGGCTTCTGCCATCAACTTTGTCTAAGCCTTCCACCCCCCCAGCCCCAAGCCGTGACACATGGGCATGTCTTGTCCATGCAGTGCAAACATGGACTCCTGAGCTGGTCATTTGATGTCCCTCCTTGGAGGAAAGAACAAGCCCAATGGCCTGGGGTGAGAGGCCAGTGCTGGGAGCGGCGCTGGCTGTGCCAGGGCACTGCTGGGTGCCCCCACCCTGAGCACTCCCACCCTTGTGCTGGTCACTGCTGTTTTCCTCTGCAGGGCGTTGTGTTGGGCACATCCTGGAGAGCAAAGCGGAAAGCAGATGGAAGCTTTGAGGCCCTGCCCTGAGGAGATGGTCCTGCAGGATGGCAGTGCTGCTGCAGAGGTCAGCTCTGTGCCAGCAGTGCCCGTGGCTGTCCCTGCCTGCAGTCCCTGGACAGTCCTGCAGCAGGACTGGGACCGACTGCCAGAGCACTGAGGCCTCCAACAACACAGGGCTCTGCAGGACAGTGTGGAAGGGAAGGGAGAGGAGGCCCTGCAGGAGAAGGGCTGCTGCTCCCTGGCAGTGCTGCTCTGCTGGGACTCTTTTCTGGCCCAGCTCTGCACAGAGGCACCGACCCTGCAGCTGCAGAGAAGTCAGAGAGGAAAGATGTCAGGCAAAACAAGCCAATGCAGAGTTCTTTATTTGGTTTAAGCAGACAGTGAGTACATTTGCCAATTTGTACAGCCTCTGGGACAGGCTAGAAAGGCAAACATTGAACTTAAAATGGTGTTTTTATATATATATATCTTTATATATATATATAAAAGATTTTTTGTTGTGAACAAATTGTCAGAAAAATAACACCCCTACCAGGAGCAAACAATAGAAAAGATATGGTGAACCTTTAATGAAGTCCATAACAGGATTGGCCTTTAATATGGGACATAACATGCAGAAGAAGGAGAGTTTATTGCTTCTGAAAAACACTCAGTTATCAGTTTCCTCATGGCATCCTTGATCTCCTGGTTCCTCATGCTGTAGATGAAGGGGTTCAGTGTTGGAGACACCACTGAGTACAGAACTGACACAATAAGATCCAGGGATGGGGCGGAGATAGAGGGGGGCTTCAGGTAGGCAAAGAATAAGGTGCTGCTAAACAGGGAGACCACGGCCAGGTGAGGGAGGCACATGGGAAAGGCTTTGTGCCGTCCCTGCTGAGAGGGGATCCTCAGCACAGCCCTGAAGATCTGCACATAGGAGAAAACAATGAAAACAAAACAACCAAATATTAAACAGGCACTAACCACAATGAGCCCAATTTCCCTGAGGTAGCCTGAGTGTGAGCAGGAGAGCTTGAGGATGTGGGAGATTTCACAGAAGAACTGGCCCAGGGCATTGCCCTGGCACAGGGGCAGGGAAAATGTATTGGCTGTGTGCAGCAGAGCATCGAGAAAGCCAGTGGCCCAGGCAGCTGCTGCCATGTGGGCACAAGCTCTGCTGCCCAGGAGGGTCCCGTAGTGCAGGGGTTTGCAGATGGTAATGTAGCGGTCGTAGCACATGATGGTGAGGAGGGAAAACTCTGTTCCAAGAAAGAAAACAAGCAGAAAGACCTGTGCAGCACATCCTGTGTAGGAGATGGTTGTGGTGTTATGGAGGGAATTGTGCATGGCTTTGGGGACAGTGGTGCAGATGCAGCCCAGGTCTGTGAGGGAGAGGTTGAGCAGGAAGAAGCCCATGGGGGTGTGCAGGTGGTGGTCGCAGGCTACGGCGCTGAGGATAAGGCCGTTGGCCAGGAGGGCAGCCAGAGAGATGCCCAGGAAGAGCCAGAAGTGCAGGAGCTGCAGCTCCTGCCTGTCTGCCAATGCCAGGAGGAGGAACTGGGCCATGGAGCTGCTGTTGGACATTTGATTGTAGCTATTGAGATCCTATTATGTCCCATATGCTTACTATTTTACTCTAAGGTTTGGGGTTTTTGGGGAATTGCATTGCAGTTTGGGAAAAGACTTATGCTATCTCTTCCTTGTCTCTTCTCTCTTTCTGTCCACTACACGAAAGGCACCGCCCACAAAGAAGATTCACAGTGAACGACCAAAGAAGAGAAATTATTAAATGCATTAATCACGGGGTGATGTCAGAGACTGAAACGGTTCATGATTTATGCATTCTAGGATTGCCAAGGGACTTTTACAGGCTTCTGCAGGACTTTTGCATTAGACCTCTGATGGCCCATCAAAGCCCATCCCCCCTCTGCCAACCTTGGAAGGCAGGAAAAACCCTTTTCCCAGGCCCCTCACGGGAACTCTGCGCAGGCCCAGGAGATGTTGGGGGTTCGTGGCATGGCCCGGGACACCATCCATGGATATAATAACTCAGAACTTCTTGGAGTGTGGGGGTTTCCCTCCCCCACCCCCAACGGATCAAGGCCACCACTTCAACTCACAGACATGGAAGCTGCAACTCCCAAGTTCCATCGCTGGACCCCGTGGGTGGTAACTATAGACATCTTTCCACTCTCAGCTTTGCTTTCCCTTACTCTCCCTTACCCTTATCCTGTCTTTCCCTTCTCTCCCTTATGCCATAAGGTAACCTAAAGGTTCTCTTTATGCCATATTGCTGCAGATGAGAGATAGAGATGATAACACCCAAAATGGCAACATACCTGTTTATCTTTGAAACAAAATTGTTCTAAAATAAACCCTACATATATATATATATTTTCAAACACTCATTATTCAGTGTCGTTTCCCTCTAATTCACCCCAAGGGATTTATTATTAAGAACCTGGGTTACCCCCTCCTTTCTGGGGCAGGTGTAACAGACCCCTTGTAGCAGGATGTTCTACCTGGAAAAGAATCTGATGGGAGAATGCAAGCACTGCAAGCTCTCTGTGGGGAGTTACTGCTGGTGCCAAGGGGTTGGTTTAGTGCTGAATTGTGCCAAACCCAGCCTGGTTCCCCAACCTTCCAACACACATCCTGCTTTTGGAAGCAGAGTTTGACAGATCAGCTGCTCACTGGCCTGGCAATATCTGACTGGTCATCCATCACTGGATAAGTATAAAAGCCCAGGGCCAACTTTCATAGAGCAGATTCTCCCACAGACTTTGTTGAAGTGTGTGGAGCTTCTGCTGTGAAGCAGGGACGCCTCTTGGTCGTCACTGCCCAGGGGGTAAAAGAAAGAGAGAGATTCCTTGATTTATTTCTATCAGACACCGCCGGGCCCTTCCCGCTTCCTGCCCAGTCCCGGTTATTGGGGGGCAGTGGAGGAGGGGCTTGGGGGAATCCCAAGGGGTGGAGCCGAGTTTGGGGGGGGTAGAACCGGCCTGAGATGGATCGAGAATGGGAATCCCTCCGTGTCCCCCCATGTCAACCCGCTCTGGGTGGGATTTGGGAGGGCACCTGCCCCTCAATAAAGCACCCAGCTCACACCAAAAGGTGCTGGGACCCCCAAAAACCTTCCCACGGCCCCTCAAAGACTCCCAAACACACTCAAAGCCCACCCAGGACCCCACCTAACCCCTTTTCTGGGGTGCTGGGGGCTGCTGGATTCAATCTCAGCCTTGCATTACGACAACAGTTTCAGTTTAGAGGAATTACAGAGCTGTGACTGAAACACTTTGTCCCCCCCAGGTTTTAATGATGGCAAATCAGATCTATTGATAGAAATGAGTTATTTAGGGTTACAAATGATCAGACAAAAGATCTTCATCACAATTATTTACTGCACAACAGAAACACTCAGACTACCAGCAGTTCAGAATAAGACAGGACAGTGCTCTACACTAAAGCAATTGTTGAAGCAATTCTACTCAAGCTGGCACAAAAGCAAGAATTCTTAATTAAAGATGGATGGAACTCCCCCAGACCAAAGCTCCTGGGGCGATCTCTGCTCTCAACCTCCAGCAGTGACCTTGGGGGGTCCCCAGCCAAGGCAGGAATCTCCACACCCCCCCAAGAAGGGTTCTGTTGGAATAACCTGCCCCTGTGAAAGGGGACTGGTCCTTTGTGGTCAAAAGGGATGGACTGACAGTCACTGGACTCCAGGGGTTGCCTCACCATCAGGGGCTTCATTCGGGGTGGAAGCAGCAGCCGAGGCTCTTCCGCAGTTGGGGCACTCGTAGGGCTTTCCCTTACTTGTGGGTCTGTTGGTGTGAGGTCAAGTAAGAGCTGCGGGTGAAGCTCTTCCCACACTCCCCACACTTATAGGGCCTCTCCCCGGTGTGGATGCGCCGGTGCCTGACGAGGGCGGAGTTGTGCTTGAAGCCGTTCCCGCAGTCGGTGCAGCGGAAGGGCCTCTCATCCGTGTGCGTCCGCTCATGCAGGAGGAGATGTGCGCTTTGCTGAAACCTCTTCCCACATTCCAAGCACTTGTAGGGTCGTTCCCCAGTGTGGATGCGCTGGTGGATGAGGAGGTGGGAGCTCTTTGTGAAGCTCTTCCCACATTGCCCGCATGTATAGGGCCGTTCCCCAGTGTGTAGGTACTGGTGGGTGTGGAGGGTGGAGCTGTCCCTGAAGCTCTTCCCACATTCCCCACACGTGTAGGGCCGTTCCCCAGTGTGTAGGTACTGGTGGATGCGGAGGGTGGAGCTGTCCCTGAAGCTCTTCCCACATTCCTCACACGTGTAGGGACGTTCCCCAGTGTGGATGTGCTGGTGTCGGATCAGCTTGGAGCTTTTGTTGAAGCCCTCGCCACATTCCACACACGTGTAGGGCCGTTCCCCAGTGTGGATGTACTGGTGGGTGCGGAGGGTGGAGCTGTCCCTGAAGCTCTTCCCACATTCCCCACACATGTAGGGACGTTCCCCAGTGTGTATGTACTGGTGGATGCGGAGGGTGGAGCTGTCCCTGAAGCTCTTCCCACATTCCCCACATGTGTAGGGACGTTCCCCAGTGTGGATGAGCTGGTGTCGGATCAGCTTGGAGTTTTGGTTGAAGCTCTGGCCACATTCCCCACATATGTAGAGTTGTTCTCCACTGTGGATGTGCTGGTGGGTGAGAAGGTTGGAGCTGTTACTGAAGCTCTTCCCACATTCCCCACACATGTAGAGCCGTTTCCCAGTGTGGATTTGCTGGTGTTGGATCAGGTGGGAGCTCTGCCTGAAGCTCTTCCCACATTCGTCACACGAATAGGGCCGTTCCCCAGTGTGGATGCGACGGTGCCGGATCCGGTTGGAGTTGGTCCTGAAGCTCTTCCCACATTCTCCACACCTGTAGGGACGTTCCCCAGTGTGGATGTGCTGGTGTCGGAGCAGGTCGGGGCTCTTCCTGAAGCTCTTCCCACATTTCAAGCACCTGAAGGGCTTCTGCCTGCTGGGAGGCTGCTCAGGGACCACCAGCTCAGAGCTCTCCCTCAAGCTCCAGCCGCTTTCCCGGCACAGGTTGGGTCTTTCCTCCTCAGAGCACCCTGGGCTGGCTTTGGAGCCACTCCTCTGCAGGGATCTCCAGACCTTTTCCTCCCCGCTGCCTTCCTGTACCGTGGAGCCCTTCAAAACGGCCTCTCCCACCAGGGTCTCACGGGGGGATTTGTCCTCCGGGCTCTCCGTCCTCAGCTCGGGGCCTGGGGCAGGAAGCAAGAAGGACAGGGAGGGGATTTGCCTCCGGCCCACAGGGAAGGCCAAGGACATCCCCCCAACTCCGGCCCCGGCAGGACGGCGGCGGCAGCGGGGTTGTCCTGCAGCCGGGGGCCATGCTCGGCTGCCAGAGCCAGCACAACACCCGCCCAAAGGGCCACTGACTTCCTCCTCACCTGCCTGGGGGGCCCAAGGCATCTTCCTCTTCCTCGCAGCCTCCTCCTCCATCCGCCCAAGTATTGGGAAGGACAAATCCTGATGGGGAGAAAACAAGGGCTGAGTGCGTTGGCTTGAGGGTTCCTCCTGCCCAAGTCCATCTCTAGAACTCACTGGGCATCCTGTGACCATAAAAACCTCCACAACACCAAGATTCAGCCCAGAAAAACCCAAACCATCGATATTCAGGTAAAAAACCCTCAAAAATAGCAGGAAGACCCCTGCCCCCTCAAACTGCAAAAAGTTGAGATTCGGCTAAAAAATACTCCAAAATATGAAGATTAGACCAAAAAAACTGTCACAAAAACAAACTGGGGTGGGGGGCAGCCCTGGAAACCAGGGCTTTGCTCCCTCAGCTCTGCAGGGGCTTCCCACGGGCTCTCGGCCTCCTTTGGGCATCCACTGCTCCGGTGTGGGCTCCTCCCGGGGTGCAGGGGGGTCTCTGCTCCATCCTGGACTCATCCACAGGTCACAGGCCCTTCAGCTCAGGCTCACCCAGAGCTCCAGCCGGTTCCGTGGAGCAGCGATCCCCTGGCCCCCTGCCAGTGCAGGCACCTCGCCAGGGTTGTTACTTGAGGTCCTCTGGCCCCCTGCCAGTCCGGGGCTGTTTCTCCAAACCACCAAACCACATGTGCCAAACGCCCTGGTTGGTCAGTGCCGGCTGGGGGAGCGGGCACTCGCTGAGGGGATGAGAAAACTGCACCCGGGGCTGGGCTGAAAGAGGCTTCAGCACCACTTCTGATGGCCCAGGGGCAGCATCTGGCTTCTCCCAAACAGAGAGATGGCACTTGTTCCTCTGCAAGGAGTCAAGGGCAGGAGGGTGACTCCTGCTGCATGGATGGAATAGCAGAGGATCCCTTGGGTCCCCAGGATGGATCAGCACTCAGGGATACAAACTGCCCTCGGGCTCAGGATGCAGCTGCCAGCACAGATTTCCCTGCAAAGTCTGCAAGAAGTCAAGCTCTGGAGAGGAGATTGTGCCCCAGGGATGGGATTGCAGAGGCTCCCTCAGGTCCCCAGCATCAATCAGCAACCAGGAATAGACACAAAAGGCCCCCATAAAGATTTCTGGGGGAGTATCCTGTAGGGAGGGGACAGTGTCACCCCACCAAGGCAGGGCTGGCAAGTGGGAGGCTGCTCCAGGGGTCTGCAAGAGGCCTCGTGCTCTGCTCAGACCCAGCACTGGCTGGTCCCAACACCCCCGGCTGCCCCCGGCCCTGGGCAGCTCTGCTGCCACAGGCTGTGCCCTCACCGTGGCCCTGCAATGGCCCTGCCTGTCCCTCACCCGTGGCCCTGCCCGTGACCCTGTCCCTTGGCTCTCTCTCTGCCAGCTGAGTGTGGGGCACACGGGCTGGGGGTCCCTCCCAAGCCCCCGGGGCAGCCGGTGTTGGCTGGGGGGATGTGAGGGCTGGGCCTGCTCAGCACAGCCCCGGCCTCGTGCCCAGCGCCTCTTTCCTGCCCCACACAAGAGCTTCACAGCCCCCCAGGGCTCCCCTGCTGCTGCCTCTGCTCCTGGCCCTGCCTTTGCTGCTCCCTTGGCTGGGCCAGCGGCTGCAGGGGGGGATGGCAGCAGCTTCAGCTCCACGGCACTTCCTGGGGGGAGCTCAGCCCGGGGGGGACGGGCAGGGACCTGATGGGGCTGGACAGGGGCCCAGCAGGGACAGCCAGGGCCTGCAGGGGAAGGCACAGGGACAACCTGGCCCCCCACACTGCCAGGGCTGTCTCTGCTCCTCCTTGCAGGCTCCTGCTGCCACACTCTTCCTCAGCCAGGCCACCATCCACTGGCCCTCTTGGCCACCTGGCCACACTGTCTCCTGGTCACCTTCCTGTCCATCCACACTCCCAGCTCCCTTTCTGCCTGCCTGCTCTCCAGCCACTCTGGCCCCAGCCCGGGGGGCTGACGGGGCTTCTTGTGGCCAAAGGGCAGGACCCGGCCCTTGGCCTGCTTGAACCTCATCCCCTTGCAATCAGCCCATGGATCCAGCTTGGCCAGGTCCCTCTGCAGAGCCCTCCTGCCTTCCAGCACATCAACACACCCCCAGCTTGGGGTCACCTGCAAATTTGCTGATGAAATGCCTGGTTCTGCAGCAGCTGGAGATGCTCAAGGGGCAGCAGGACCAACTCAGGGGCCTGGGGGGGGCCTCAGGGGCCTTGGGATGCGGGAGGGTCCTGGGGGAGCTGGGGAGGGGCTTTGGGGATTGGGGGTACAGACCAGGACAGACCAGGACAGATCAGTACCTCCTCACTGCTCCCCAGATCTCTCCTGGAGCTGGGCCACATTGTCATGGGACACCCGAGTCCCCCCCCAGTGCCCTCCCAGTCCAGCCCAGTGCCCCCAGTACAGCCCACTGTGTTCCTGTCCCAGGGTGCCGGGTGATCCCTCTTTCGCGGGTGTTGGAAGGGATTTAAGGAGGGCTTGGGATGATTTGGGAGGATCTGTGCGGTGTTGGATGAGGAACTGGTAGGGTTTGGGGGCCTTTGGGTGCATTTAGGGGAGTTAAAAGGGGTCTTGGGAGGTGAAAGGGATCTGTGGGGGGAAGAGGATTACAGGAAAAAAAGGGGAGTTGGGGGACATTTGGGGGAGTTAATGGGGCCTAGATAGGGAGAGGAGGGGCTTCCCTATGAGCAGGTGAGTCCTGAGACCCCCCCAGTGTCCCCAAGATCCTTTTGGTGTCCCCAATTCCCCACTTGACACTGCCAATTCTACTGTCCACAAACATCTCCCCAGTGTCCCCAAACCCCATCCCTGATGTCCCCAACCCTCCATCTCACCCCAGGAGCCTCCCTGGACCCTCTGACTGAAAACACCCCCCCACACAGGCTCACAGAAAGGCCAAGGGCATCTGGGGACACACTGGGGGCAGTTGGGGGGCTTTGGGGGGCACTGGGGGATACTGGAACACACTGGGGGGAACCAGGGGGCACTGGGAGGGACTGGGGGGTTACTGAGGGACGCTGGGAGGACACTGGGTGGGCCTGGGGAGTTACTGGGGGATTACCAGGACACACAAGGGGACACTGGCTGGTTACTGAGCCATACTGGGGGTTACTGGGTGCTCACTGCAGGATCACTGAGCCATACTGGGGGGCAGTTGGAGGTCACTGGGACACACTGGCTGGTCACTGAGGAGGTTACTGGGCTATACTGAGGGTCACTGGGATATACTGGGGGCACTGGGATCCCCCTACCCGGATGTGGTACATCTCCCCTCCCGGATTTTTGGAGGCACCCCCAGGACCCCTCCCCTGGGGGCTGGGGGAGCCCCTGAACCCACTGCTGGGCTTTAGGGGACCCCCGGGCTCCCCTCCCTGTGGGGTCTCTGTCTGCTGAGTTTTGGGGGTCTCTGGGGTTCAGGGGGGGAATTGGGATCCCCTTTCCCTGGGGTCGGTCTGTCAACACAGAGACCCCATAAAATCCCCTCAAAACCCCTGAAATCCCCTCAGAAATCCTCCTCTGGACCCATTGAAACCTCCTCAAGGACCCCACAAATCCCCTCAGAGACCTCATCCCCCCCCCAGGACCCCCTAAACCCTTTCAGTGACCTGCAAAACCTTCCTGGGACCCCCCAGGCCCTTTCAGGGACCCCAAAAAACCCCTCAGGGACCCTCAAAACCGTCTAGGACTTAATAAATCTCCCTAAAAACCCCTAAAACTTCTTCAAAGACCCCCCCCCCAACCCCCCAGGACCTACCAATTCCCTCGGAGACTCCAAAACTCCCTCAGGGATTCCCAAACCTCTTCAGGGACCTTCAACTTCACCCCTAAGTCCCTTCACAACACCAAACCCCCTCAGAGACCCCCCCAAAACCTCCTCAGCCACCCCTAAAAGCCCCTAAGGGACCCCAAAACCACAGAACAGCAGAAGAGCTTTCTGTAAAGGAAGGGAGTAAACAATCTGAGAAGGAGAAGACCAAGGAAAAACTGAAGCAAAGCAATCAAATCATCCTGGCCCTTCCAGTTTTTCCTTCACCTTTTCCTCACTTTTCCTTTTTTTAAGGTTCTTTTTTTGGTTGGGTGGTTTTGAATTTTTTTTCCGAAGGACTTTCTGAGGACCCGAATCGAACATCCGGGTTCTTTGGAGGCCTCCCGGGCCCCGCGGCCCCCTCCAAGGCCCTGCGCTCTGACCCTCAGGAACCCTCGAACCCCCCCCGCCAAACCCTCCCGAGCCCTTCAGCCTTTCCACCCACAGCCGCGCTCCCCGCAGCCCCCGAGGGGATCCCCAGAGCCCGCTCTCCCCGCCAGCTCACACAGACAGAAGCAGGCCCCGCCGCCATCACCGATTTCCGGCAGCATGCGCGCGCACCGCGTTTAGCCTCAGGCAATCAGTGCGCGGCCACGCCTCCGCACGCCCCCCGCGCCTGCGCGCCGCGCGGGGCAACACGGGAGTTGTAGTCCTTGGCGGATCATAGCGGCCCTTGGCACGTGAGCGGAGTGAGGATAATACGGGTTTTGTTTTTTTTTTTTTTCTTTTTCTATCTTTTTTCTCTCTTTTTTCTTTCTTTTTTCTTTTTTACTTTTTTCTTTCTTTTTTTCTATTTGTCTAATTTTTCCTGGTTTTCCCTTTTTTTTTTACTTTTTTCCCCTTTTTCTCTTTTTCCTTCCTTATTTTCTTTGTATTGCCTTTTTCTTTTTTTCTCTTTTTCCTTTTTTTTTACATTTTTTTCTATCAGTTTCATTTTCAAGGAAGATTTAAACACAGATCAAAACAATCTCCACCTACATATCTTAGGACAACAGATAATCTGGCATTGTTCCAGATTCATGAGGATTCACAAGATCACAAACACTGAGACATGAAGGGTGCTCACACTAAAAACAACTTTCCCTGCTTTTTTCCACAGGTAGAGCAAGTGTGGAAGGGGCACTTGGTCCCAAGCAAGATGCTTTTACAGCCACTTGAAGCAGCCCAGAGTGGATCTGGC